TAAAATTAGAAAAAACTAAATTAAATAAAACATAATCCCAGACGCTCCTACATCATTCTCCATGAGTCAGAAAAACTTGGCTCTGACGAGTAAGCCTTGACATACTTCATGTTTGGATCCATATACTATCATAGTCCATACCAACCATTTAAATAACTCATCTGTGTTTTGAAGGTTGTCTCCCATTCATCTCCAAATCGTATTCTAATTTGATGATATTCTTTCTTCAAATCGATCTTAAAAAACACTCTAGAACTAATGAGTTGATCAAGTATGTCACTCAATCAAGGAATAGAAAAATCATACTTGATTGTAGTTTTGTTAACGGTATGGTTGTCCATAAAGCTTCTCAATAAGTTTCCCAAACTTTTGTTGATCAATTTTGTTTGACCATGCTTAGATAAGGGTGAAGATACTTCATTCTCCTTAAAGACTAATAAGAAACATAAATGGTTTGACTCACAATAAGCTTTGTTTAAGCCAGCCATAGTGATGAGTGCTTTATCTTCCTCTTGTCTCTTTGGTCGATCTTTTGGCTTTGATGGAGTCAGCATAATTTTTACCCCATCTTTGATGAAGGAATAAGTATTATTATATCCATCATGGTGAGCTCAACGATCATATTGCCATGGGCGTCTGAACAACAAGTGGCATGCATCCATTGGGATAGCATCACACCAAACTTTATCTTCATGCTTATTTCTAATAGAGAATTGAATACAATAGCGCTTTATTACCTTAACTTCGTTTCCTTTTCTCAGCTATTGTAACTTGTAAAGATGAAGATGTACTTCAGTTGGAAGTTTCAACTTTTCCATCATATAGTTGGCAATAATATTCTCACAATTTTCACTATCAATAATGATATTACAAACCTTCTCTTGGGATGTGCACCTTGTATAGAATATGTTATGACGAAGCCAACTTTCATCTTCTATCATCATAGCAATGTTAAGGTTAATTATGACGAACAATAAGAGCTTCTCCATGGTTAGGGAAAACTTCTTCTATCTCTTTGTTATTGAATATTTTTGGCTCATCCTTTATTTCATCATCATACTCATTATAAATTGGTTCTAATTTTTCCCAACCCACATAATCTTCTTCATCACTTGGGCTACAGTAGTTGAATTGAGCAGTATCACATCTTGCAAGTTGCTTTTATAATTTTTGAACTTGGTGACGTAATTCTTGAATCTCGATCTCGTAATCATCTCTCTGACGATTTTGATGTCTTGGTGGCATTTTATAATATGGTGATGACGATGTGGTAATGTAGAAGAAAAATAATGATATAACTGTAAAGCAATTAAAAAAAATTACCCGAGCAAGGAATACCGAAACTCGACAACGAACTTGAATTATGCAGCGAACAATGATCTTTCCGCTCTGATACCAAACTAACGTCGGAGCATTATAAAAGACACCAAGGCGTTATGAAAGACACCAATCATGGCGAGGTTAGGAACCCCACTAAG